GGACCTGGTTCATTGGTTTTCTAAAGGTTACCTGGAGCACACAAGAAAGATAATGGAAGCATCAAAGAGGCTACAAAACGGGTATTTTGTTAGTTCAAAACTAGAATCTTTAGAATTCCAAAGCCTATCAAAATCAAAATCACATGTGTTCTCGTTGTTTCTGTGGAGTAAAACAGATCCCTAAGTTATTTATGATTGGAAGGCCAGATATGACACTTGTGGCTTTTGGGTCTAAACTACAGGAACCAATTTTACAACTATAGATAGAACTTCCAAGAATTAAAGTTTAATTCTTTACAACTTATGATTAACATTTGTTATAACTTATTGTGAACCATGATCAAATACCTCCATTTTTAACCAAGGTTGTGATTCGTTCTATTGAATCCCAGTTGGGTGTTCCTATTTCAGAAATTTTTTCAGACATCAGCCCAGAACCTATGGCTGCAGCATCTTTAGGCCAAGAGTATAAAGGGTATTAGATATTAAAATTGTTTTGAATTTTGAAAATTCACTATAACTATGTAAAAAATCTAATAGGCTTTGATGTTACTTCAAGTTTTGTAGCTCATTTGCATACAGGGGAGCTAGTAGCTATAAAGGTACAAAGACCTGGTATGTCACTTTCTTTGACCCTTGATGCCTTGTTATTTAACATGATTGGGGGCCAATTAAAGCGATTTTTCAAAGCAAGGAAGGATATAATAGTAGCAGTTAATGAGACAGTGAGTCTTCTAAAACAGTTAATTAAAAATAATAGGATTGTTCAAAAATGAATTACCCATGATTCTGATTGAATAGGTGAGGCACATGTTTGAAGAAATCGATTACATACTTGAAGGACAAAATGCTGAAAGATTTGATTCTCTTTATGGTTTTCTCTCCAGTAAGTGATTTATTGTCATTATTGACCTTCATAGTTAAAAACTTGTAAACCACTAAAAAAGAATATATATTATGATTATTGCAGCCCAAGAGGTGGAAACTTCTGTGAAGGAAAGATGGGTTAAAGTTCCAAAAATATACTGGAACTTTACCCAAAAAGTTGTGCTTGCAATGGAATGGAGTTATGGTATTAAGCTTAATAACGAAGCTGCATTAAAGACATTTGATTTAAACCGAAAAGAATTGATAGATAAGGTATGACACAGATTGATAGTTGTTGTTTTTCCTAAATTAGTTTTAAATAAGAATGTATTACCCATGTTAGCAATGTATTATTTTTGTTTAACATTTGAATGATTATTTTTATGGCATATTATAATTTGTGCAATTTATTTTATTTTTTGTGTATGAAATTTTATTTTATATTATGAGACATTAAATGTGTGATGTAATTTGAAAATTAGTAAATTTACAAAAAATATATATATATTTTAAAACATTTAAACTTTATGACACGTAAAAATGTGTGTCGTCTTTCTTTATGACATGGACTTTAATGATACGCAATGCAAGTCGTAAATGTGTGTCGTTTTACGACACGCGAATGTGTATCATCTTCTTTATGACATGACCTTCCTTGACACGCATTGCGCGTCGTAAGGTTACAACGCGCAAATGCGTGTCGTATTCCTTTATGACAGGGCCTTCCTTGACACACATTTGCGTGTCGTCTGAGCGTTTTACGGCACACATTGCGCGTCGTAAAAGACTGTTTTTCTAGTAGTGAGTAGAGAACTAGAAGACCCAACTATATATATGAAGATAGTTGGCAACCTCATCTATCTAACACTAACCCGACCTGATTTGGCGTTTGTGGTGGGTGTGCTGAGCCGGTTCATGCAAAGTCCAAAAAGATCCCATTTGGCTACAATTCATACAATTCTAAGGTATGTGAAGACTACACTTAATTATGGACTTGAGTTTAAGAGGAATTCAAAGTGCAACTTATTTAGGTATTGCAATGCCGATTATGCAGGAGATGTAAATACACAACGTATATGTGTTTTTGTTGGGATCTAGTGCAATATCATGGTGTAGTAAGAGACGGGCAACATTTTCTCTTTCCATAGCCGAGGCAGAATATCGAGCAGCTGCCATGGCAGCTCAAGAATGTGTATGGCCAAAGATCTCAATCAAAATGTAAATTACAGCATTCCACTCTTCTGTGACAACCTTTCGTCGATTCAGCTGGCAAGGAACCCTACTTTCCATGCCAGGACCAAACATGTGGAAGTTCATTACCATTTCATTCGTGGCAAGGTCTTGGAAGGAGAGATTGACCTTCAATACATACAGACCTCATACCAAGTTGCAGACTAATTTAGTAAAGGACTGCCAAGCAAGAAAATTGTGGACTTATTCACTCATATGGGGATAATTGAAGCAGGTGTTGAGAGGGAGTATTAACGTTCAACACCAACTCTCATGCAGTCACATATGTGCATGGATACCTTGTGCACGTGATTAATTTATGTTATTCTTAAGTATTTTCTGTTCTTTGACTTTATCTTTTCAGTAGTTGGTAGTTTTCCTAGATTTCTTATCATATGTTAGTGGGTAGTTAAGTAGTTTCCTAATTAGCTTCTTTCTTGGATTGTAAGCCATATATGGCAACTTGGATATGTTCTTCATCTTATCAAAAAATATACAACTTTGTATGTGTGCTTCATATTGTTCCTAATCTCTATTTGTCTTTGTAAGTGACTCGTTGTGTACGAGTGTGTGGCTTCATCTCAGTTAACATGTCATTCCCAGAAGCTGGTGGACACTAACATTGAAGGTCCATGTCTTTGGATTGAGCATTAAAATGTGTTCAAGTATTCAAGCAGTAATATTCTCCACTTCTCAAGAATGTCCAGACTGAAGTTTGTCTTCAAGCAATGGGATTACAGTTTAGGTTCTTTGCTATACTAGCAATACCTGATCTTAGATCAACATAAATTAACATTAGTTGTGGAATAATTAACCCGGAGCAAATATTTCTAAACAACTTTATTTATATGTGTGTTTATTGTATTATATTTTAGAGATATAATACATATATTTGGCCGTACTCTATTGTGGTGAGCAAATAGAATACACCCACCAATCTACCTCTTCTAATAAATGAATCCAAAATTGATATGTGGCACCTTTCTAAGACTCTATGTTTGACACATGTCACTCTTATAATATTCCATAATTTCTTTCCCGCCATAAATATCACGCCCACAATTAAATCTTCTCCAATTCAAATTGATATCATTTTCCAAAATTTTCTCCTATGAATTAAGTATGTTTTTGAATTGATTAAGACGATCCCAAAATTTATTCCTCAATCTCACTATTTACTCTAATCCCATTTTCACCGCTGTTGTCTTCATCGATTAACTCCAATTCCAGTTTCATGGTGCTTTTTATTTTGACTTTTTTTACACATTTTCTATTATTTGTGTTTGTGTGTGTTTTCTTTTTTGTGTATATATGTTGTGTTTGTGTTGATGGTAGAAGCTATAAGTTTTCCCAATCCAAATTTATGCTTGGGTTTTATTCTTTGTTAGAACTTTAATGTATGCATTCTATTTGTTTGTTAAAATGTTTCAAAGAAGGTTTGGCTACAAAAAAGTTTTAAAATTATGGTTAAAATTTAAATGAGTATTTTATTGAAGTATAGAAATTACTAAGTACATTGCGATTTAACAACCCAATATTAAAAAACTTTATAAAAGTACATTTCTATTCAAATTACTCTTTACAAGCTTTAACAAATGACAAATGTTACCTTGGACAAAAATGAAACTCATGAGTTTTGAGCAATCTCTTTTTTTTTTTATTAATCCAGTAAACTGTTATATAAATTAATTACTTATTTATATGAGAAATTGCTTCCGATCTCTTTTGGGTTCACAAGTGAAAATTATACTTTGTAGAGTTTTTTTAACGTTTTTCTTTTCTTCTTTTTTTTTTTGTTAAATGAAGCATCATTAGTTTTGTTTTCTATAATGTTTGAATTTTTTTTGTATATTTATCTTAAATTTGAAGCTTTTCTTGGTCTTTCTTTGAACGGTAAACAATGCTAAATTGTCTCTACAAATATATTCTGATGCTCGATGCCTTGGGGCTTTTGTGGTGATTGTTTCCTATTTCCCAGGCAGTTTCAATGTTTAAATGTTGGTTGTTGCTATGTATTCAAGAGTGGTTGCTGTAAATTTTTTGTTTTGGTGGAGTTGTTTTTTTTAGGTTCTAAAGTTAGTCATGGCTTCCTTAAGACTCTTATTTGATCTTAATTTTTCTTGTCATTACTTTCCTCATCAAGACATTTTGATATAATCGACAAGAAATGGCAATCGTACACATAATGATTTGTTTATTAATCACATCACACTTTTATTTCTTCACATATTGTAAGTTTGTAACATTGTATTTTGAAAAAAAAAATACCAAATTATAGCATGTAATCCAAATAGATATGAATTTTGTTGTTTTTTTTTATTTTTTATTGCAAATTACTTACTATGTATTAGTTTTGTTATTGTCAGCCCGGGTTTTAACCTAGTGATAAAATAAAGTTCACTTTCCATATTATGTCCTAAAAACAACCGTATTCTTTCTTCTCTTTTTTAGTAATTAGCCTTAAGTTTATTGTTAGCTTAATTCATTTACAGGGAGATGCAGGAGATTGAATAAACATTCTTACGCTTAGTTTTGCAGAACAAGTGAATGTGAAGTTTTTATGTCAAAAGATTTATATAGGCGTATGTTTGTAAGTAGATGAATATCCTTTAAATAAATTCAAGAGGCCTCCAATGAAAGTTGGATATCCTCGTTATCATGCACCCAAGAATTTTGCTCAGTAGGTGACTCCTATTACAACATGCAGAAGTTGTTACTTGTTCATTTATTAATTTATTTTCAAGGAAGTAAATTATTATACCAACACAAAGGGTAACATTCCGCTTTCCAGTATTTATTTTTTTCATACAAAAGAAATTAATATCTATTAGTAAATTTCGAGAACAAGATCAGTTTATTAAGACAATCAAATCTGTTATGCAATAGGTTGTTTGATGGAGGAGATAAATATGTATAAACAGAATACATCAAACCCAGTATTATATAGCTTTTGAGCATGAAAACTTGGAAGATCCAACTCTTTGGGACAGCAAAACACTAAAACAAAAAGCACCTTCATTCTCATTACATGACAAAAATGCACACCTAAAAAAATACTTGCTTAGAATAGCAGAGCTGTAGATATGAGCAAAGGTCGGTGAACCAAAAGTGTACGTCTTTCGAGTGACAAAGCGTAGCCTTCACTGCCACCTGGCAACATATTTATTCATGTGAAAACATATTCGAAATAAGCTTGTCACATTTAATTTGTTTGTTCTTATTTTGATGCGAAGGAAAAAGTACCTTAAGGGCCATCCTCCACTACGTTAGACTTCCTTTGAGAGAGAGCTCTAAAGTGCACTTGCTCATCTGTTGAAAAAGAATAGATTAAAGATTTGTAACTAATTGCAAAAAAATCAAAACAAGAATTATTTATCATCAAAACTTTATCCTTTTATTTACTATCAGCTCTAGATAAACCGTAATACATAAAAATGATATCTACCTTTAAAGAGGGTTCCATCTCCACACATACCCAGATCCATGTATGGAGCTAGAATTCGCCATTTGCTTAAGATGTATTCTCCTGTTGTTGTTTGAAATGCAGTGAGATCTCCACCAATGATGTGATTCCATGACTTGTAATAACCCAATGCATCTTCTTCTACATCCTTACTTTCATTATCATAAACAAAACTCACCCCACACTCCTTAGCAACTGCATTACCAATAACATCTGGATTCTCCCTAATGGTAACAGTAATAGTAACGTGATCACCACATTCCATCTCATTCATCCCAAACATCCAATGGCTTAACAACATCAAACTCTTTCCACCGACATCAAGTACACTGCCAACATAATGTTGGTATATCCAGGTGAGATTCTTTGTTATATTAGTAATTTTCATCAATGGCACCTCAAGATGAACATCATCGGTAAATGGAGATGTCACCATACAGCAGCAATTTAATCCTGTGAGATTTTTTGGAGATGATGGGATGGTAAATGATATCGATGACCCCATGCTTCTATCTGTAATCCAATTCGGCATCTCTTTACCCCAATAAATTGTGCTGAATATTCCAAATTCATAATACATCTGCCAAAATACAACCACCTTCATTAATTATACATACATACATATTCACACAAACACATATAGTTAACTACAGCGAACCTGGATTTCAGATTCCTCTCTTCTATCATCAAGATAAGCTCCCACGCGCATTCCAATAAGGAGGTCTAGGTTAGTCCACCCCAAACAATGTAATACCTTTTCCTCAACATCTGCCATTGGTTGGATTTTGACAATGCCTTCAAATTCAAAAGACGAAGTTGAAAACATCTCGGAGCCGAATATGAACATGAGTGGGGACATTTGTGGATCAAATACAACTTTTCGTAGCAAACGATTACAACTAGAGCCAAAATATAGACTTAGATACTTTAATGTAGGAGGAGGATTCTCTATTGTTGTCAGCATATTACAATTTGACATGCCAAGTATCTGAAGCCTAGGAAGGCTTCTCACACAAAAGGGCAGGGAAACAATAGGATTTTCATCTAGATGTAACTCCTTTAACATGGTTAGGCAACTGAAGTCCACGGGAAAAGATTCAGTGGACAAATTATTATTCTCAAGTGACAGGCTTACTAAATATCTTGGTAACGAAATTGCAAAGAACTTTGAATAACTTGGCATAGCCCCCACTATGGTGGAGGAAGACGTTATTGAGTTTATGCCAATATTGTTATCCTTGATTCGAGATTCACCAAGACCACATCCTTCTAGCAACAATGTTTTAACCTTCTTTAACATGCCTATGATTCTTGGAAGTTTTCCAAGCTTGTTGCAGTAGCTTAGATCAGCATGGACAAGTTCAGCACATACCTCAATTGACTCACAAACCTCAAGCAAACTGGTGCAACCATTAAGTATTAACCTCTCTAGTTTAGGGAGGTGGTCAAAGCCACCAAGACTGCGAAGTTGTTCACAGAAACTTAAATTAAGAATCTTCAACGATCCAAGCAACCTTTTATCATCCGAGCATGATCCAATCAATTTCTGAAATTGAGATAAATTAGAATAGTAATGAATTTTATCAACTCAACATAAAAGAGTGATGATAAGTTACCTTGAGTCGCTTATGAAGTCGCTGTGGATAGCTATAAAAAATCCCAAATGATTCAATATTGCTATGTGACATGTCAAGAGCAACTACATTCTCCATTGGTAAGTCTGAGGGTATAGACTTCCAAGGGAACCCATGCATACACAACCATCTTAATTCTTTTGGAAATTTCTCGTAGGAGCCATTGGTCTGCACATAATTAAGTTGTAGTAGCATTAGCCTATCCATCATACTTAATGCATCCGTTTTCAACTCAAGTGATCCACGTATCTTCTTGTTCTCAAGAATTTTCATGTCAAGGGTGAGGCCTAGAACATTTTTCGTACTCTAAGAAGAAAGGGGATGAAAAAAATATTTTAAAATGTTAAGACATGTATGTAGAAATATAAACTGCTTTAACCAAGTACACATAGGTCCCTTACCTTTTCTTGTTTTAACACTCTAAAGGACTCATGACCCCATAATCGACTTCGTTCCCATGGACGGTTAAGTGATTCTTCACGTACCACAAATCTTCCCATCTCTTGAACCAACTGATGCATCGTCATTTCATTATACCATCCAATACTAAGAAGGCATTTATCGATAAGATTCGTGATCCCAGTTTTTGTTTCTATATCGCACGCCTCTAATATTGTTACAGTATCATTTCTATCCATTCCAACAAAAAAACAAGAAATATGCTTAAACAAGTCCTTGTCATTTTCTGATGACAACGAGTCAAAGCTCATTCTCAAGACATTATTTATAGGGGAATTATTTTCTTTCTTTAGTGTGTCTATGTACCCCTCCCAATAAGTTACATCTCGATTATGTAGAGACCTACCCAAAACTTTAAGAGCCATTGGATGTCCGCCACAATACTTCACAAGTTTTTCTGACACCTCTTCATAACCTGCCTTGGGATTGTTGCACATGAATGCATGAAAACACAAAAGTTTTCGTGCTTCAATAGTAGATAAGCCACTAAGCTTGTGCTCTGCATAGTTGGGTTTAATGTTCGTTTTGAATGGTAAACTACTCTGTGTCAACCATGCATCTTTTGTTGTTATTAGAATTTTGCTTCCTGGGTGAAAACCTTTGCTTCCAAGTAACGCATCTAGATGATTGATACTACCAATATCATCAAGAACTAGAAACACCTTTTTACGGGCTAATGCATTCTCAATCATTGAGGTGTATATAGAAACATCATGAACTTGAACTGAACTTGGTTTGGAGATGTCATTGTAGAGTTGTTTTTGTACATCAATCGTCCCATTATATTTTGTATCACATCGCCTATTGACATCTGCAATGAAGCTGCTGTTGTCAAATTCATGAGAATGTAGCACATAGACATATTTCGCTAAAGACGTCTTCCCGATCCCACCCATACCCAAAATAGTGAGTATGTCTGTCGTATGGGATGTTGCATCTTTCAACCACGAAGTGACAAGTTTAATGGAGTTTTCCATCCCAATAAGTTGTGGTAGTGGAAACCTTGACGATACACATAATCTCCGGTAGATGTCCTTGACAATTTCATCAATTAACTCCACCTCTTGCCTGGAATTTGATTTTAGTACGAACAACAAAGATAATCAAAACAATAAACATGTCATAGTGGATATTTAATTTTTTCAATGATCCAAATCAAAATTATATCATATTAAGCCATTAAATAATAAAAAAAATTTAGATCATAATTATTATCATATTTTCACTTTTTTTAACCATATAATCATCTAATGTGCAAGGTCATGTAATCATCTAATGTGCAAGGTCATAATTATATTCTATAATAAAACCAGAGGCACCAATGTAATACAAGATTTCATTAATGGACCACCAAAGTTCATTGTGTTACTACAAAACCATAGTAATTAAATCCCAATGTGGTTTTGCATAAATCTGGAGAAAATGTCAGTGAACAGTTATAAGTTAACCTTTAATACTTACACAAGTAAAAGCATTAAAATATGATAATAAAAGATGATATAATTTCAAGGTAGAATGATATACAAAAATATTACATGCGTTACAACTGTTCAATAGTTGGTTTATTAATTGAAAGCATATAAAATCATTAAAATGATTTATCTACATGAACTAATTTGTGATAAAATAATAAATGCATAGCAAATGTATTAAAATTACCAGGATGGTTTAACCAGCCTATACAAATTAATTTGTGATATCACATAATTGCAAAAACTAGATTCAATTTAAAGCATATCTTTTTGTCCAATTTTAATGCATCAAAAAATATGCCTATTTGATGTATACGAAGTGACGTATTGAAATGCATACGGAAAAGATGATATTGAATTTTAATATGCTAATTAAAAAATATTAAAGGAGTATGGAAATATGATTAAGAAAGTGGTTACCTGCTGTTTGCATCCTTCCCTTTTAAGTCAGCAACTTCTCTAAGCGCTTTATTCCAAAGCTCTATCTTTTGAGACCATTGATTTCTTTTATTTGAATTTGTCTCTGCCTCCATCTTCTGTCTATGCTTAGCCATTGCATCTCCGAAGCTACTTTGTTGCTTCCTGACACTGGTGGGCTCAACATGATAAAAGATGGGGATGATAATATGATTGGATTTCATATGTTGTTCAAGGATCAACACCAGTTCATCAAGACACCATGTGGAAGTAGCATAATTTTTGGACAACACGATAACAGAAGCCCTAGATGCTTTAATGGCATATTCCAATTCTGGTTTCAGATCTTCCCCTGTTTCTATCTCTTCATCATCCAAGAAGGTAGTGATATTGGCATGCATGAGTGCATTGTAAAGGTGATTAGTGAAACTATGACGAGTGTCAACACCTCTGAAACTTAAAAATACGTCATATCTATGAGCTTGAGTTGATGAAGAAGATGAAGATCCTTCACAAAGTTCAGAGAGAACAACCATTATTATCTATGACTGTTGGTTTGAAGCTTGTATTCTGAAGCTTTTGAATCCCAGGATTTCCTCAATTGTATCTCTACAAAAAATCAAAAATTTTAATACCTTATGTAACTTAAGTCTCATCAAGGAATATAACCTCAACAATAAAACCTTATAATCATTAAAATAAATTTTGTAAATGACTAAAAAACAATACATATGCACCTGACAGTCCTGACTTTTCCATGTGAATTAATATGCCTCAGAAATAACCAGCATATATACAGCTATGTATTGATATAGAATCATCAAATTGAACCAATATATTTAAGTAACCTACAAAACCTGTACTTTGATCTGATTAATCCACCACGGACATCCCTAATATTGTCTAAATAATTTCCATCTAAAGTTAAGTTAAACAATCCTCAAACAAATCAACACCAAATACCATTCTAGAAACAACTACAAGATCCACTATTACATCCTAGGAAGGGAATTGCAAAAACGTATTGGAAATTTCCAAATTTCACTAGATAAGAACAAACAATTAAAAGATCCAATAGCAAGAAAGATATAAGTTTCTTGACATGGTTGTTTGTAGATCCCCGCTTCAAACCTTTTGATTACAAAGTTTGTACTACATGCAAGTAACAATGTGACGACTTTGCTTTGTAATGCCCCTCGAACATGACTTCAAGTTAACCAAACCTTACTTTTAATTACAACATCCACATGAAAATACTATCAAAGGGATGGATATAATCCAAGAGTTATTGCAGATGAGAAAGTGGCCAAGAGTTATTGCATTTAAAAGTAGATATAATCCCTGGTCCATCCAAGAAAACTAAAAGCAGAACTAGAACAATGAGTGTTCAGCTAGGCCAAGTTTTCCCTTCGGGCTGCAACAATGAGCATGTCAAAGAGGGCTAATTATGTTACAAAGGTGACTCAACTGACAAGTGATGTAGGCTTTGCCCGACATTATAGGTGTTAAATATAAGGTTAATATCATCAAAGACCGTATAATTTGGGTTTTTTCCGGATTAAACCTCAACATTATTTTTTCCTAAAAATGACCTTGTTTTTTTTCTTCTTTTTTTTTCATTTTTTCGGATTTGGCCTTTTTATCAGGTTTACTGGTAAGTAATCTTCCGGTTTTAGACAATTTTTACAGAAAAACCCTCAGATTTTTCCTTCATTTCGGAAACAACCTTCCCATTTGACACGATAAAGTTAAGGTTTAATCCGGGTTCCGGAAAAATGAAAGTTCTTTTTTAAGATAAAAAATGGAAAAATTAACCCTTAAACTAAGCAGAAGATTATTCGGAAAATATGGAAAATGCAAGGTCTTTTTAAAGGAAAAAATAAAGTAAAGGTGTAATCTGAATAACCCAAAGTATAAGGTCTTTTATATATTAACCCTTAAATTTACAAAAAAATCCATTATCAATTTGTAAATAAACGGCATATAATCCTAATTTTTTATTCATGGAATATAACACCTAAAAGCACTCCACAAGAACCGATACTTCTTAAAATCTGGCTTCAACAAGTCGGCAAGTTCACCACGTTTAGGTTACTGTTCAGGACTTTAGGTTCAAAAAGAATCATATGTAGAGAATCGTGTTTGTATTTGGAAGATGTAGATGAATTAAGAAAGTACATGTTGCACTCTGTACTACCCTGACTGAAATACAAAACTGAAAAAAGTAACAGAATTAATTGAAATTTCAATCCCATGTTATGAACAAACACATGATTAGATATGCGATTTATGGTTAATAAAAGATAAAACTGTCTAACATGTGAAACTAACTGAAAGGGCCTTCACATTTACCTGCCAAGCTACAGAACAACAACGAGACCTGAAGCAGCGAGAATAGCGGATAACTTTGAAAAATGCAGAGTGAACGGCGCAAAGCCCCCCCGGTAAACGGCAAGTCAACGAGGAAGGAAGGGAGACGGCAAGGAGTTGAGACAGAATGTGTGGTTTTCCTTTTGCCTTAGCTATTGAGTGGAGGCTTTCACGATATTTCCTCTTTGAATTCTTCTTCTACAAAAATGATGTTAAATTTTCTAGAGAAAATACGGAAATGGTCCTTGTGGTTGTTAAAAGATTGCTGTTTTAGTCTAAAATATATATTTTTTAGACAAAATTTCAAAAGTGATCCTAATATATATATATATATATATATATATATATTAAAGTTGTGCGACTCTTAGGAATAGTAAAGTTCCTAAGAGGTTGGCATAAATGATCCTCTATTTATATATGATTGTTCAAATTCGTCTCTAAGGTCATTTTATGTCAATATCCATATTGTTTGTGGATACGTGTTGGGAACAGTTCTGGTTTCCGGGTCATTTTATCCCCAGACCCATCGGTTAATCGGTCCTTCCAGTTTCTTCCTTCCACTGCTTCTTATCCAAATCTTATGTTCTCTTTCTTCCTTCCTCCGTTTTCATTCATCGCCACCGCCACCCAATCCATCGCTAACCTTCTGTTCCTCAGGTTACCACAGCTTGATCGGTTTACCCTCCCGGTTAGTTTAACCCTCCACCATCTATATTCGTCTTCTACCTTCGCCCTTACACTTTCTAGATGCTCTTGTGTAACAATCAACTCGAACTCCAGCCTCCAGGTCTTTTGGTTTCTGTAGTCCTGAGCGGCATATAAGGTTTAAAATTAATTATCTAAATTAATCGATTGATTAGTCATTTAAACATTTAAGATTAATTATTTAATCAATTAATTAATTAATCATTTAAACCAATTATAGATTTAATATTTATCTTTTAATTAATCATTTAATTAGATTAATTATTAGATCCATAAGGATAATATTAATCTCATAATTAATCGTTATCTTCCATAAGATTATCTCATAATATTTATGGTTTTTATCTAGTCATATAAGATAAGCAAAAAAACGAATTTTGGCTGAAATCAAAATAGATAATTACCATCTTAATAACCACACAAATCAGTTTAGTCATCCGAAATTTTTGATTTGAGCTAAGTTCATGTCGTGATAGATGCACTGTCACGTCGTGAAAACAGTTTTTGTGAAAACAATTTGGTCAATTCAACAAATGTGCTTTCAATGTTAGACACACCAAGTAGCTTTGATACTACTGATAGGTTTATTAGGTTACAACGATATGCATAATGAGGAAAAGCACTTAACAATTAAGAAGGGCACATGTAACCTAAAATGATCTATGTATTACATTTTGAAGGCATCATACTTTTAATAACAAAACTAACATGAACCCTATAAATTTCGAATATAAGAAATCAAGGTTAACGGTTTACATACCTTTGATTTTACCTATTAAAGCAGTTACCCTTATCAGCTTCAAGAGGCTTCCAAAAACCCTAACCACCCCCCCCCCTAAAACCGTTCACCCTATAAAACCCTCTTGAAATGTCTTTTCTTGCTCAATTATGAAGAATTACAATTCACCCCTTGCACCTTTAATTAATTCCAATTAATCCCGAATTAATTCCAAATTAAGTATGATTAATAATTAACTAATTCTAATTGATGTCATATTAATTTATTAATCATATAAATTAACAAATCAATTATTTTAACAATTGATCTCATATTAATTTATTAATCACATAATAAATTAACAAATCAACTATCTATTTGCAATTAATATATTAATCATATAATATATTAACAAATCATTTCCTTATAATTTCCAATCAGTTTATTAATCATACAATAATCGAATAAATCACCCACTCCCTACAAATGTCATTCTAATCAAGTTCCAGTTATCAAGGCAACCTAAAAGGGACTTTTCTTACAATTACAAGAATGTACCAATTTAGTTGTTAACTCAGACACCTTAATCCAACAGTTTTAGTCCAAGATCTGGACTATTTTCTCTTGTAGTGGGCGTGTGGCGCCCTTAGAAGAGCGTAGGGCGCCTGTTGACCCAAAATTGAATTTATGTTGACTTTTTTCCTAAGCTTGACTTTGGGGACAAATTTTAGGGTTTTAGGTCACAAGATGAGGTTTTACCTTTAATTTCATGTTTAGGTAGTTGTTGTACCAGCCTTCGCATTTCGTGAGCTATGGCTACTGCCTGACTATCTCTGAAGTGAGTCTTCTCATTATATTTTAGGATACTAGGTGTCATCGTATACTTGTTATCTGTGTGACTCTTGCATGAGTGTTTATTGGGTGAGGCTCGTTTTATATGTTTGTCGGGTAAGTCCCATTTGTAAGTTTATTGGGCAAAGCCCATTATGGTTTGTGGTATCTTGAAGAACTCACTAAGCTTTGTGATGAGTCATGAATTTAATCAAGTAGTGATTTCATAATGTAAATGAACGCAGAAGGTAAATAAATATGTTTAAGCTTTTGATTGCCTGGTTATAGTGAGGTTACACAATACAAAGAGTGAGTTCTGAGAAAGTGTTCTGAAAGCGTACCCGATAGCCTATACTTCAATACTATATATAGTACCCTCAACAGACACAAAAAGTATAGAAAGACTTCGACATTCAAAGTATTACAAACAAACATGCTCTCTAAAATACATAGATATATCAAAGGTGTGTAACCTTCGATATAGACTACAAGACACTATTCAACATTAAGTACAAATGACTTGGATAGAGAATATCTTCACAACTTCTTATTCTCTACATCCCCCTCCCTCCTCTTTATGAAGAATATTCAAGTCTTTGAACAATTGGTAATGTCATCACTGCATCCATCAGTGTCTTCCTAATCTCTAAATACCAACAGACTACCTTTCTTATTTCCTGCCTATCACCATCACTATTCTTCTTGCACTTTGCAACTCTAAGAAAATGATGCATCAATTTTTTTGTAGAATACATGTATTTCAAATCCGTATAAAATAAGTGTTTTTTTTGTTTTCCCTTCACCTTCTTCCCTTGAAAGACAACACCCAAAGGCTTCAAAATAATTTCACCATCATCATACTACTCAAGATCCACAACGTCCAAAATAGCATTTGGATTCTTCCTATGTTTTTTGTAGGCTTTAGCAATCTCGACGTCAATTAGCCCAAGGTGTGTAAGGTAAAAATCAATGAAGTTCTTGATATATGTATATCCCACAACATAAGATCTCTTATCAGTCACTTGCTTATCATCGAGATATTTGATAAGATATGCTAATGTGATAAAATCATTCAAATATATCAAAGAGAAATCAAAGATGGTGAACACACAAAGACTGTTATATGCTCTAATCACCTTGTATCGGTAGTTCTGAAGGAGATTCTCAAACATATCATCCTTCAATATTGATACCATCTTCACAATCTTTTTCAAGGGTCAAATCTCCTCCCCTTTCTTTCCAAGCACTACATGAAACCTTATCTTGAAGTATTTGAATGCTTCATATTCATGGAAATTATCAGAAAAATTGAATTGTACAATTGTGAAAATCATACGGTTGAAAGTAAAATCAAGTTGTTGCATTGGTGAATTTTCAATTGTGTAGCTTTCAATCTGCATTTTCTCGAATGCATCTGCTTCACCAAAAGACACAGTTTTAGCGGTTTCATAATTTTGTGTATTATTTACTTCCCCTTGTTCATCCTAAGAGGATCATTTTCACTTTTCCTCAAGAAGCTATTCAGTTATTTCAGCTTCTATATCTCTAGTTCTTTTAACTTATTCTTTTCTTCATCAGACAACACAACCCCCTTGCATTTGTATTTCCTTGCTTCCGTTCTTGTTGTTCGCTTGACTGTCGAAGACTCACCCTCATGAATTCTTAAGCTCTTCTTTGAATGAAGCTTAGACACGTCTACTTCGACATTTGGAGTGACAACTGAACTTGAAGTTATAGTTGTTTCTATTGTTTAAACTTGTTTTCTTGGAATAGGAATAGGTATTTGATGAGAGAAGACCTTCCCAAAAAATTTTCCTTTATCTTCTTCTCCTAATTTTGACGAACCACCCTTATCTCTCCCTTGTGACACTTGTGAAGCATGTGGAGCATTCGTTGGCAGTCACAACACCAGATCAAGAATAGGTGCAAGTTGGGATTCGGAAGAAGCTTTCATCGAAGACACGACCTTTGAGATTTACACCATCGAAGATGATTAATGGTTTGCATACTTTGATATTTCTTCTTGAAAAATATTAAGAGAAGTTTCAATACCTTTACACTGCTTCATCTTTGTCATCCTTCTTCTCTAGTTCAACTTTATAATCGACATTAAAAGCTTGAATATCTTTGACTAACGTTCTGGTAGCTGAAAGCAGGAAATCGACATTCTTTTGTGCAACCATAAATAATCCATCAATATTTTTCACTTTTGACGTAATAAGATCATGAACTTGTTGAACTTTTAGTTCAATGGACTCCTTGAAGGTCGATAATCTCTTCTCTATCAATTCATATCTCTCCCTTGCCATATTTTGAACCTTTGTAACATGGAACTTGAAAGACTTCAAAATAGTATCAACCCTCTCCTAATTATAAGTCACAACACCCTTGAACATTCCCTTGATCTTCGACTCTTGAGAACCTAATAGAAGCCATTTCTTCTTTGCTAACAGTGGAAGAATTATTGGCTAAAGAATCAATAAGAAACTACAAGATCATGTTCATATTGTAGTTCAGAATTTTATACTGCTTTACAGACATGATAGCTTTATTTGCAACATCCTCCTCATAAGGATCAAATCTAGGAGCTCCAAAATCAAACATTTCTTCATCATCATTCATGACATGGTCAATGCAAGGATCAATTGATTGGGAAGAAAACAAGGATGTAATTGGTTGATTAAGAATTCTAGCAAAAAGTTGGTGAATGTGTAGGAATAGATGTGGATTGAACTAAGGATGTTTTAAGTGGTGAATTAGATGGTGGTAGGAGAACTGTTAAAATTTTAGGAACAATAGTCACACCAATATTGACATTTGAGTCCACACTAGATGCTTTCTCAAGGATCTAGATTCCTAGTCTCCTCCTTATTGGAATCAACATTCGAAACCTCTGGTGGAATAACAGTAGTCGACTCAGGAACGGATGTTGAAGGTTTTTCAATATTCATTATCACATTAGATATGTTCATAGGGACATCCAAATTACGTGTCTCCTCTGCACGAGATTCGACATTGGGACACACCCGCCTCTATGTTCGTGGCTGGTTGGTGGTACCAGCCCACGACTGCCCATGATTGGTCCCATGTCTTTGCTTCTAGGAATAGGTTGGTCTTCATAAGAATAAACATTACTCATGTACGAGTTGTACATCCCATTGTTGGACCCTGTCAATTCTTGCTCTATTTTCTCCAAACGATTCATTGATTGTTTCTAAGCTACTCCAAATCTACTTTCAAATTGTTCATATTATTTACTCTGCTTGAATACACCTTGGGTTCCATGGACATGACAAAAAAAATGAACAGTAGCACATGAACGGTAATTCCGATGAATAGCATTGTTGTCGGAATCATTATTCCGATGAATAGTGTTGCTGCCAGTATCGTTGCTCTGATACCAATTTGGTATAAAAATTTGAGAATCAAAATACACTTAGCTTAATGCTTCCTAATAAACAATAGGGCTTGTAATTCGAGATACAAGAGATCTCCACAAGAACAAAACATCACAACTTGTCTGCCTCCAAGGGCCAGCTCCCACCCCTATTTACAATTAACCCTATCTATTAAACTAGGAAACTACCAAACAAATCCCAGAATCTATAAACACCAAATAACAACTATAAGTAAATAAGATAAATTAAATTATTCTGCGCCCCCTTGAGTTTTCTTCCTGCGCCGAAGTATACATTATCCTACCTTCCTATCTGGTTCATATCAAATATATACAAATAAATAAAAATGTATTTGCATGTTTCCCCTTTTAGAAGATAGACCACTCATCTATCAAAGTATTATATACATATGGTTGAATGATTATAATTAGAACAAGTGTGTGTATAATAGTATTGTTGTACAAACTGTTGTCGGTTTAAGGGCTAAATGCAAGAAATATCAATCTACTTTGTATTTTTCTTTGTTATAGAAATGCACTTTGATTATATCCCTGTTAAAGCATAAATAATGGAACATGCAATCAACACAAAGGATTAGTCAACTTAATGATCAATACCACGTCCGGGAAAAAAGAGGAATTTTTGTGTGTTTAGATCCTTACAGAAAGGGTACCATAGTAACAGAGGAGGAGGAAAACAGTGTTGAGATATATATATATATATATATATATATATATATATATATATATAGAGAGAGAGAGAGAGAGAGAAGGGGGAGGGGGAATGGGAGAGGGGGAGAGGGAGAGGGGGGAGAGAGAGAGAGAGAGAGAGATGACTTATTCATGATTTATAATAATACTAGGCGAATGTCCGCGCGCTGCGCAGAAATACTTATATAGTTGAAAAACTTTATATATATATATATATATATATATATATATATATATATATATATATATATATATATATATATATATATAACAATATAATAAATATATAATTGATATAATATATTGATTATTTTGAATTATATGATAATATATACATCTATTATAACTGCATAATCTCAACCGTTTGAATGATTTCTACCTGCGAGTAACTCATGAATAAAATTAAATATAATATATGATTTAATGTTATTTATAGTTGTTGTTATTGTTAATTAATTTGTTAAAATTTATTTGCTTAACGTTTTAATTTCTGTCATTATAATTATTTAAAACATCAAACATTATTTTTTGATTTTAAAGGTAACAGTATAATCATTTATATAGAGTTATTTTTAACTATTGTTATTGTAAGTTATTTTAAGCTACTTATTTGAAAACTTTTAACGATTGTAAAAATATCTTTAGAAAATATGTTAGTTAAATTGAGATTATAATTTAGTTTTTGCATTTAACACTACAATTTATCACTTTTAACTATTCATAAAATATTCATTGGGTTATTTAAGTGGAACTGAAATTCATATTTAAGTTGACACTATAATGTTATATTTAAATTAACAATTTAAGTATTTTGTCCAAACTGTTCAAAAGTTGTAGCTTTAAACTCTTAATGATTTATATACAACAACATAATAAATCTAATAAATTAAGTATAATATGTTAAAAGTTAAAGACATAACTTTATAAGTAAAAGTAAAGATATTATTTTAATATTGAAATTTAGTTTATTTATGATTACACTTTAGGTTTGATATTTATTTAACCTTATTAACCAACTTATAATCATTATTAGTAAGACACTACAATTCATCACTTTTAACTATTTACAAAATATTTTTTGGTTTGTTTAAATTAAAATTTATATTTAAGTTGATCCTGTAATATTATATTTAAATTTATAATTTAAGTATTTTATACAAATTGATCAAAAAATGTAGCTTTAAAATGATGATGATTAAACCCAAGAATATATTAAAACTAATAAATTAAGTATAATATGTTAAAAGTTTAAAAAAAATAAATTTATAAGTAGAAGTAAATATATTCTTTTAATACTGAAATTTAGTTTATATATAATTACACTTTAGGTTTGAATTTATTTAATCTTATTAACCAACTTATAATCATTAAAGAAATTGAAAAGTCATGAGAGTTTCAAATGAATGTGGCGAAAGGAAAAATGCATGGGAGTTTAAATGAATATGGTTAAAGAAAAAATGCTTCCTTTATAAGCATATCAGGCAAATGCCCACGCGTTGCGCATAAACATCTATATAGTTGAAATCTTTACAAATATATGTTTTTTTAAATATAACAATAACATTGTTGATAAATTTAATATAATAATTTGTATACTAAAATGATATAAAATATTGAATATTTTGAATTATATGATAATATATACATCTATTATAACAGCATAATCTCAATCGTTTGAATGACTTCTACCCGCGAGTTACTCATGAATAAAATTAAATATAATATATGGTTTAATGTTATTTATAGTTGTTTTTATTGTTAATTAATTTTTTAAAATTTATTTGCTTAGCGTTTTAGTTTCTATCATAATTATTATTTAAACCATCAAACATTGTTTTTTTTTTATTTTAAAGGTAGCAATATATCATTTATATAGAGTTATTTTAAGCTACTTATTTTTAAATTTTTAGCGATTATAAAAATATCTTTAGAAAATATTTTAGTTAAATTGATATTACAATTTAGTTTTTGCATTTAGCACTACAATTTATCATTTTTAACTATTCACAAAATATGCATTGGGTTTTTTAAGTGGAACTGAAATTTATATTTAAGTTCACATTGTAATGTTATATTTAAATTAACAATTTAAGTAGTTTGTCTAAAATGCTCAACAGTTGTAGCTTTAAACTTATAATGGTTTATATACAACAACATATTAAATCTAATAAATTAAGTATATAATATGTTTAAATTGACCCTATAATGTTATATTTAAATTAATAATTTAAGTATTTTATACAAATTATTCAAAAGTTGTAGCTTTAAAATGATAATTGTTTACATCCAGCAATATATTGAAACTAATAAATTAAGTATAATATGTTAAAAGTTAAAAAACATAACTTTATAAGTAGAAGTAAATGTATTCTTTTAATATTGAAATTTAGTTTATATATGATTAGACTTTAGGTTTGATATTTATTTAACGTTGTTAACAGATATAGATAGATACTAAAAGAACCACAAAAAATTATAATTAATTGCATTCAACAAATAATGACAACCACTGCAACTCTTCATTTTTCTTCCGGAACAATTTTTTCGCCCACGTCTGCAACTCTTCTTCTTCACCTTCATATTTCAAAACATATCCCTCATAACTGTCTCTTTTACTGAACAAACATTAATTGCATTATTTACTTCAAGTGCATTAACAATTGTATCCGAGTTTGGCAGCATATAGTGAGGATTTTATGTGACCCGTGATGTATTTTGAAGAAACCCGGTAACTGTTGAACTAAGATCTGTTTATTAACACAAAAGTATAACTTATATGATCAAAATTTTGTTGTAAAAACGTTGGGTTTTTTGGTGAATGAAATCAATTTGTCTAAATAACATATAAAGAAGGCTACTTAAGCTCGCAAAGCTGTCGGGTGAGCCACAAGTGCAAATCTGTTAGGTGACAAAGTTTAGCCTTCACTTCCAGTTGGTTTGTGTGCATTTTTTATTTATGCGATGAGAAAAGAGTTTTAGGGATAAAAAAGTACCTAAATTAGGGGCCATCCTCCTGTATGCAAGACTTACTATGAGACAAGAGCTTTGAAGTACAACTTATCTGATGAAAAGAAATAGATTAAAAATGATTGCAGAAAATTAAAACATCAATCCTTTATAAGTAAAACACTACCATTTAGTTATTATCAGCTTTATATTAGAAGTAGTACATAAGAATGACATCTTACCTTTGAAATTGGCGCCTACTTCACATAGATAACCGTAACTTAGTTGATCCATTTCAAGGTTAGGCAGCAGAATTCGCCATTTGCTTAGGATGTATTCTCCAGTGGTTAATTGAAATCCAATGAGATCTCCACCTATTATATGATTCCATGACTTGTAATAACCCAACACATCTTCTTCTTTTTCTTCTCCATCATCATACACAAAACTCACCCCACACTCCTTTGTATAAGCAAAATCATATGGTCTCTCCCTCAGGAGAGTAATATTAACATGGTCACCACATACCATCTCATTCATCCCAAACATCCAATGGCTTAATGTCAAAAACTTCCCATCTATATTGACTTTTTCAATGTAATGGTCGTATATCCAGGTGAGGTTCTTTGTTATATTACTAATTTTGATCAGAGGAAAATAAAAGAACTTATAATAAGGAAATGGAGATGCCAGCACACAACAAAAATTTAATCCTATGAGGCTGTTAGGAGATGATGGGATTGTAAATGATATTGATGGCTCCGTGCTTTTATCCATAATCCAATTTGGCATCTCTTCGCCTTCATAAATTGTGCTGAATATTCCAAATTCATAATACATCTGCCAAAATACAACCACCTTCATTAATCACCACATTAATTATATATACATACATATTCACACAAAGACAAATAGTTAACTAGACCAAACCTGGATTTCAGACTCCTTTGATGCTGCATTAGCAATAGAAGTTGTGACGAGTCTTCTGTTAAGGAAGTCTACTTTAGTCCAGCCTAGACAATGTAATAACTTTTCCTCAACACCTGACATTGGTTGGATTTTCAGCATACCTTCAAATTCAGACGATGAAGGCGCCATCATCCTCCATCCTACTGAGAGCTTGAGTGGGGACATTTGTGGATCAAATACAA